ATATATGAGCTGGACTATGCCGACCAGTCCAATGATGGCTTTCACTGTAGCTGTTGGTGACCCGTATAGGATTCCACGCCTCATGCGCTTGACATTGGGGAACACATTGCTTCTTGAAGGTGCGTCATCATCAAAGGTAGTTCACAAACGATCAACATTCTGCTGCTGCTGCTTTAAACCACATTTATAGTCGTGGAAAATCATCGCCCTCCAGTGACATCAACTGAGTTCCATCCTTACAACAGCCTGAGTATATAGGGACCCGCGTATGACTTAGGCACACAAACCCGTTAAAAAAGTATTCATGCCGGCAAAGATCAATGCACGTGAACGAATTTATTATTGGAAATGGTCACCTGACTCAAACCACGTGAATTAGGATTCGGCTTGATGAACGACTGGTGAACGAGAAATCCGGTTGTGGATGCAGTTGATCCGGTAAAACAGCACAAACTGATGAATACCCCAAGCTTCAGTGAATCAGTGATTGGATTCTCGATTGCCCAGTCGTTGTTGGATAGTCCGCGTACTCTTAATGCACCATTTTCATAATTTAGCCCATCAGATTGTCTGTGCATGGGCCTAACGGAGATTGATCGAAATTCCACGGGAAAGAGAATCGCGTTGCATGCCTGTTGGCAACTGTACCTTTTCAACTTCAAGTGAATCCGCCGTAACTTCAAGCGAATCCAACCAATCGCACTCCATTGGAAATCCCGACAAGATGATTGGTGTTTTGGTCGTTAAATGTCACCGATTGGACCGGGTCCGTCTAGACCCTCTCCAGTTACACGACACTATCACCGCAATGACCTTATAGACTTTACTACTTAAATCGGATCAGAGAAAGCGTTTTACACATGCCTCCTTAGGCTACAAACAGTATTCCTAGACCTCAATTGTGAAAAGCTTGTGGTGTTCTGATCCCCTACACCGATGTATTGCGGATACCTGCGTGATGGCTACAAGCCAAGCCGAACACTTTTAAGTGAGGGCGCATCATCCTGAGTATAATCTTTCGCCTATTACTCATGACATTTTGTAATTATTCAAATTATCGAGATTCCGAAAAGTTCAGTGGCCTCAATGAGGTTAGACCAAAAGCATGGATGCCACTTACGCTTTTGTACGGAGCACGCTCTACTAACCGAACCGCGGGATCACACCGACAGCGCACTGATCAATTTTCACATTCGAATCACCCATCCAACTTACAGAGGCATATGGGATCCACCAGTGAGCGTGTAAGCTAACTGCCTCGACAGGTTTTCCTTAGTATTTACCGGAGTCCACCGAATGAACTTCTAAGGCAAGGTTAATTGTTTGAATTGTTGTTTGGCAGATGGGAGTTTTACGTTGAGATTGTGAAAAGTTCAGTAGCCTCAGTTGTTTGGTTTCGATTTTACAGTAATCTCTTCAGTTCTCACTCCCGTTTGAACTCACCTAACCAACTATATCTCTTGCCGGTTCGTAGTGACACACTGAAGGAGAATATCGATCTGATTCGGAATCAACGGGAATTGCGGGAGAAGCAGCTTCAGATTGTCACTTTGCAAGCTCGTATTCAGGATTTCGAAGCGGACCAATCTGCGACAAAAGAGGCTAATCGAAAACTGGTCTCCGAAGTCGAGCGTTTGACCAATGAGATTGCCTTACTTGAACAGAAAAACATTCAAATGGAGAGTGCCTCAAATTTGGCCACGAAAGATCATTTGAAGGTGTTAGAAGTACGTCGGCCTCTACGTTTATCGTTAACCCATATAAAATGTGTCCTTAATTTAGAGTTGATATATTTCTGTTCGATTGTACTGTTTGAATTGATCTGTTTATTTCAGTTTCCGAACGGAATAAGTTCAACAAGGATTTTCATTGTTATCCATTCGAAGATACTAGAATGTTATAATAGTCACCGAAAAGTAATTTATCATATCACATTATTGTTACCAAAGTAATCTAACTGTTACTGCGTGTCAAACAATATCTTTTGTTTTGTAACGAACAAAAAGATTCATGATTTACTGGTGGGCAGGACACTGGTATTTTGCACAGGACAAAACAGATGAATTTCCTTACGGAATCCCCCTGCGGAGCAGTTGACTAACCAAAGTTTGACCTGTAAGGCGGTGGAACTGTGTAAAAACTGCAATCCACCCGGATCATATACCCTTTAAACAGGGTTACATGTATGAGGTGCTCAGTGAACTCCTTTGAGCATTCCAGGCCGTAACCACTACAACAATCAGTAAGGCGTGGGTGTATGATTCCCTCGTATCTCTTTCGTTGGTTCGGACTCAGGATTTTTCAGCCAAATCCCCCAAGTGAACTGCCAGTGGTTTTTAATCGTCCCAAATTCATAGGAAAACAGCTCCCCCTCCCTCCCACGGGATGCAATGATTAGGGCTTTTGTGATTCTAGACATCGGCACGATCTTCGATATCAATGAATAATAGTAATCCGTATGAAACTGATGATCGAGCTACGGAGGGCAATAACTTCATCAGGTAATATGCATTTGCACGACAGCTGGTGAAGAGGAGATCTTCCAGTGAGCAATTCAAGCAAGAAAATCTATTATTAAGTTTGTATTTCTGTGGTAATCCAGGCCTACGTGCTGACGCTTACCCTGGGAGCGGCGCGTTACAGTTGCTGAACATTTGCAATCAATCAAATTTGAAAGATGACGACAATGACGCGTGTACGGCTTCTGACTACACGCCGTAGGCAGATCGCGCCAGACAATCCGAGACAGTGCAGACAGCAGCAGAATTATGCAAGCAGTATTGCAATCCGATTGGTGGAAGCCTAGATAACCAATAATCTTCTTTTGTATATATTATTTTATCTCCTTCCTTTCCTCCAATAAACTAACTAAGTACTACTATTCCTGTGGTCTTTTCCTCGTGTCTTGTTCACTCGGGATATTGCGAGCTCATGCCATTGCGATCTAGTGCTTCCATAATCCAGTCCGTGATAGCTGATCCTACATTGGTGTCCTGTGATTTCTATTGCCTAGTCTGTATTCCAGTACCGTACTGCTACTGTTGCTGCTGCTGCTACTACTACTACTACTACTACTACAATTGTTACGAATTGGCGTCGCGTGATGGAGCTTCCAATGATTGAGCAACTGAACCTGCAGGCAAGCCCATCTGTGATCGAGGAATGGGTCCAACGATTCGAGGTGTGGTGCAATATTCGCAAAGGTGGTGCGCAGAATCGATCAGCCCTGTTTCTTACTTCTGGCAGCCGTGACCTCTACTCCCTGTTGAGAAACCTGGCGTTCCCTGAGGCTCCGGTTAAACTACCATACGAGTCCTTGTAGTCGTTGCTGCTCAACCAGCTGCTGCCCACTGAGTTCCAAGCACACAAAAGGGCCAAATTCAACTCCATGATTTATGCTGATCATGTTTCCTGCCGTGACTTCATCCTTCAGCTGAACAAACAGGCATCAGACTGTAACTATGGTGATCGTCTGGAAGAACAAATGTGTAACCGCTTGGTAGCAGTCATCCATAATCTGACTCTCCAACGAAAGTTACTGGAGAAGAAGGATTTGGCTTTTGCCGAGGCCTCAAGATTTGTGAGCAACACGATGATCTGATAAAGCTACTTCCAGCGAAGCAGTCACATTATTTCAACGGCAGAAGACACGACCGAACCGACCTTCAATGGCCAAGTGTACACCAAAGCTGCAGCAAGACCCTTCTGGCAACGAGAAACGTATCAATTCCTGTTTGTCATGTGGAGCTAACTATCTGCTCTCCAACTACCGCTTCCGAAATGCCAGGTGTCATGCATGCGGGAAAACTGGCCACATTCGGAGAGTGTGTAAACAGCCCCGTTGCAATCTGGAACAGCCAACTGCTGCGAATGACACAAACCCTATGCTCTCTCTACGGTTCGAAAGCCAATGCACCCAATTCCCATACAGAATGTGACACTGCATTCCAGCAAAATACACAGGAAGCACGGAATTACCATTTCTATTGCAGTGCTTCCGTCGATCTGTCTCCAAGCTGAAATCCGTCCGACATCTGTGCAAATCCTTGGTGTGACCGAACACAAATGGCCATTGATTGGTGAGGTTTCGTTGATGGTACATTCCACAGAAAATTGCCTTGTTCCCATTTGCTTCCTGATTGCCAAAAATCAGTCCATTAATGCTTGGCTTGACCACCATTCGTGCATTGAACCATTCTGTGTCGCCCCATACAAGCTCTGTGTTCAATGTGTACACCTGTCTACAGCGCCTGATCGTGAAAGGTTCCAACAATACAGGAGGCATGAACGTGCAGCCGGCCGAATTGGAAGTTGACGGTGAGCCCGTTTTCCTGAAAAGACGTGTAATCCTCTATGACCAACGTGAGGGCGTGCTGCAGGCCCTTGAGAAAATGAAGCGTGACGGCATAATCACCTGAGTTACATCCAGTACGTAGGCAACGCCAATCGTGATCGCAATCAAAAGTGACGGCAAAACACCGCGAATTTGTGGCTATTACCGGTTAACCCTCAAACCGCGGTTGCGAAAGTGTGCGGCTACTACTATGGAACCGGAGGATTTCATAAAAGCATTGCATGGCAGCGCATGCTTCTCGAAAAGCGACTTGGCTGATGCCTACCTCCAGATTCCTCTCGCTCCAGCCTGCCGGCAATTCACCACCATCAAGACACCGTGGGGAATATATCAATACAACTTTCTTTGGTCTCCAGCTGGTTTGGTGACAGTGCATCAATCATACGTATCTCTGAGCAAGGGGATTCAAATTCTTTCGAAATAGGTTGACTGAAGACACCGAAATATGCTGTAAAGACCAGATCGTTCGGGTTGCCTCAGCTGTTGTTCTGTGTAACATTTCAACTGGTTCATATTGGGTATACTTGGTAGTTCTCACAGGATATGTTGTAATCATTGCCGAACAGGTGTCCCGATTGGTTTATTGTTGGTGACATTCATCAACTTCCAGCACCTCTGATTCGTAGAACTGGTTAATTCATACGGAGACCAAATTCTCTAGCAAATGAGCTTCCTAATCAATATTCGTCACGTGAGCGTCGGCAAGTGTTTACCCATGCGTAGATTTTCACTGTCCCGTGTAGTCTAAGCATTTTGTAATCTGTGGCTCACTGATGAGGTCTTGTACTATCTCTGTACTTCATCAATACGGAAAGGAGACCAATTGCGTAATCTTCTCAATCGCTAACTTAAAACAAACCGGACCATATAAGGCACATAGGACTAATCAATTATGGTGAACGAATATGTACAAGCATACAAAGATTACTAAATATAGAATTATAAGTTCAGCTCCACGGTAAGTAGATTGATGGCATCGGAAACCTTTGTGCACAATAAGGTCAAGTGATGTAGTCCAATGAACAGTTTTCATATAATTTCTTTCAATCAGATCGATGTTTTGCCGGATTAACGAATCCGGATATTGAACTCACTATCGCCGATGGTGGCCCGGTGTTGAAGGTCATTGAACTATGTGTTCCAATCTCATCATCACCACCGTGGTCTGACTTTCTTTCTTATGTGTGTTGTATAGCGACCCTTTGTTGATTGGTCGCTTTCTCCTTCCTGAGTGTGGTATAAATTTATATACACACTCAATAAAAGGAAACAAAAAGAAAACCCAATAATTGTCCCCAAAATCAAAATTTTTCGAAGTCAGTGTACAAAAGCGGTGACGTGAGCGAACTAGCCAGCAAATGGTTAAAATCTATCATCAAGCTGGTCTATTACGCTTTTTTTGACCCAGTCATTGTCTTCATTACCACCCGCAAACCAGCGATATTAGTGACAGAACCATTGGTCACCTCCACCACGTTAAATTTTCAATGCAGAAAGTAGACAAATGCACCAGATGATAACATTTCGTTTAATCTTCTCAATTACTGACTTGAAACAAGCAGGCAGGTATATAGCACATGAGATTAATCAATTATGGTGAACAAACGTGTGCAAGCATAAAATCAGTAGAAGGTCAACTCCACGGTAAGTGAACTGATTGTATCAAAACATTTTGTGCAATTGAGAATATTAGGGTGGTGGTGGTGGTGCAGTGGTTTAGTCGCTGTCACCGAGGTGCCTAGGACCCTATGGTCCGAGATTTGAGCCCCGCCACCGCCATCCAACTTTGGTGGTAGGCAGCTTTGCTGTTGTCCCGTTCAGTACCACGCCTAACCTATCGGGGCCTTACGTGGTTCACCACTCCATGTCCCGGGGCTAAGGTTACCGGTTTCCATCAATGAACAGCAGATCTTCGTGACTATGGCATTCGTTCCGTCTGCTTTTCACCACACAAATGTGTGCAATAAAAACATTGACATGATAACAACTCGCAACATTTGGTCTTCTTTCTGTATTGATTAAATGGATAGAACGAACCCAATGCTTCAAATATCTTTGTATTTTCTTTAATTGTGGAAAATCGTACATGAGGAATGGAGTTTATATTTGCCTCGTTTGTTCTGTATTATTTTCGTTATGCATATAATTAGCATAATCACGGCAAAGTATCTGCATCCAAACAGCCAGTGACTTTCGATGCACATCCAGATAAAGATTAAAACAATGACCCCATATTTCTAGCACGGTTTAAAACACGTGGGTTGAAAAGATGATGTGAGTTCTGATGCTAACCAATGCGATACAATTTCCATTTGTGATTCTATGCAGAAGTTTCACAAATTTCTGTAAAGTACTCATGAGGAACGAGACCGATTTAAAGGTATATTCATCAGTTTCTTCTCTCACCCTCACCTCCACGATCACATCCATTCAGCTTCAAAATGCGCTTGACGATGCGAAACGCGAAAATGCTGTCTTGAAGGAGAGTAATGACAAATTGATGGCAAAGTAAGAGATTCAACTGATATTTTTGAATTCGAACAAATCAAATCGCAATGTTCACTCTAGCAGCCCTATTTTGCTGCATCAGGGGGTTGATTTTAAATGCATTTCAAATGCGATTCACTAGTTGATGAACTATCACCAAACATTCCATAATTCGAAGCGCTTTTTAATTGTTTCATTAATCCCACAGAACACACTGAAAACAACAGCGTGGCGAACAAGCTCGTTTTCGGTTATTCGTAATCATGTAATTACACAACATTAAATTTGACTAACATTAAGATCGAAACAGGGAATGAGAAATTCGAGTCCTAATGATTCATCTGTGGCTCCAATTTTTCACAAACCATCGGGCGGTGATGGCCCGGTGGTAATGTCACCAATTATCACCCTGGAGGACGAGTGTTCGAATCCCATGACGACCGCCTGACTTTCCCCATTTGTGTGTTGTATGGCAGCCCCTCTGATTGACCGCTTCCCCTTTCCTGAAAAATGTATCTTCGTATATTCAATAAAAGGAAGTTAAATGAAAAAAAATCATGCGTGCGTGTGTTTGTTTGTGTCAAATTGATCACAGTGTCAAAAGTTCAAGTGATTGCACACCTGTTGCAGTGGCTGAAGTGGGCTAGGGGAGATTTAGTGCTTGCATCAATTTCTTCCGGGTGCACAAGGCTTCGATCGTGGCTAAGATATGATGCTTCACTGCTCTTGATTGTCTGCCATTGTAAATCGGTCGGAGCGAGCTTGTCATATCTACCGAGCGATTTGCCTCAACAAGATGCGAACACACCGCACTCGTAAGTGTCTTAATTGTTCCAGTCCTCAGCCAAGCCGAGTGGTGTTCGCGAATGCGATCGGATAAGTGCCTGGTCGTACGGCCGATGTACCCAGTCCCACAGGAACAGGTGAATGAATAGACACAAAATGGAAGATTCCCATATGAATATCAAAAGCAAAACAGTATGGCGAACAAGCTTGTTTTCGTGACTTCTTCAGACATTTGCAGTTATGCTTATTTATGCATAATGTAGAAATAAATGTGATTGGTTCGATGAGATCAAACGGGCAATTACAACAGTATCTGTCAGGTTAAATCGGAGCAAATAGAGAAGTGATGATCGAATACGGAGACAGTAGAAGACCTCAGCAGTGAGCCACAGATTACAAAATGCTCAGACTACACGGGAACGTGGTGGTTTGATTCGTCACGAAGGTTGAGACAAGGCCAAGCGAACGGGAGTGTGGCATTCATATTCTTCGGTTTGCACTGTGGTGGGTTCATGATTTTGATTGTTACTACTTCTGCCGTTGCCAAGTGACAATGCCGAAAGTACTTTGAATTGTTTAGGGGCACTTTGTAGATGACTTCAAATGTGTCTTTGTCTGGCTAGTGCCCGATATTGACGAGGTGGGCCACAATCGCACTGATTATTGTTTTTCTTGAAACCCTGTGCCTAATCAGGCCGGTCTATGAACTGTCTCATCGTTCGTCCTAAATAACTTGCCGAACATATGCAAGTGAAGGAGTACGTAATTATGTATGGGGAGAGAATAGATAGCTTATCCTTGAGGTTTGTGCAGAGCTGTGACCGGCCTGTAGGCGTCCCACTTAGGGTGGATATGTTCGTGTGATTTGTTTTTTCTTTCACACGTCTTCTCAGTAGACCACCACTCGAATCTCCTTTGGACAGGAACTGCAGGAATAGATCTTTTGTTTTGGCCATCATTGGTTTTGGTAGTGCGGGCTTTTCTTCTCGATGAAACTCTCTGGGTATCCATTATTCATGAAGGTAGATTTGCTGATTCTTAGTTCCTGTTGCTCTCGATTCTTGGAGCAAATCATTCGAGTTTCAAACACCGGAAGTTGGACTGTTTCGTTTAAATTTGATTGGGACAAATCTTTTGAAATAAATGTATTGACCCTTCATGTTGGTTTGTGAAAAATTGAACGGCATATCTTTCCATCGGGCCCCTTCTTCAGGTTAGCATTGAGGAAGTGAAACGCAACCTGATCCTCTGTTTCAAACGTAAAACTGATTGACGGATAAGTTTAATTGAAATGGTTTACTCTTATGTTCCTTAAAATAATTTGATCGGAAAGGATAAAAATATCATTGATATGATAGAAGTATAGTGAGAATGGATGAATGATGTCCCGTAGTTCGTTATTTTCCGTCTGCTAAAGTTAATACTAATTTCTGGAATTTAAACACTCTTAAAATGCTTCCTATCTGTTCCGATCAGTTTTACTTTAGTTTACACTCGATAAAATTGTCATAATCGGAGTAGATACCGATCTGCGATCGTCACAACCGCGGCACAGAATCACACTTACGCTAGAATATTCCGTCATCGAGACGCAGTAAAAAAAGCCCCAAAAGTAACGTTTGGTTAAGTGGGATTAAAAAAGAATTTGATTGAATTTCAATGAGGGAATTCGTCGTTCATCGAGCGAATGAAGCGTGAACTGAAACGCTAGGAAATACTGGGCAGCTGTTTCGACCTGGTTGGATCTCATGAGTAGTGCAAATTCATCGACGCAACTGGGGATCGAACCCG